ATATTTCCTTCATTATAAGGTCAAATGGAGTGATTCAAAAGCCTAACTTGACTGAAATTTCACAAGAAATCCATTGGAGGCATCAAAAGTAAGTTTAAGAATTGTTTGTTATGCAAAACGAGGTAGAACAATTGTGCAAAAATACTTAATATCGAAGGTTTGTTCATTTGGTCATATCTTTAGTTGGGGAGCTCGAATTTGGACAATATTTGGAGGCGATTTTCACCATATAGATTGGGGTAAGAGTTCTATACTCGATTTTGGTTATATTTCATGAATCCATCTTCGTTTTGGCATTTGATGATGATTTCAAAGTAAAATTTGAGGGTATTGTCTAAAATTTCATAAAATAAATTTTTGAGTTTTGAACATCGATTCGGAGTCGAATTTGAGTGACACTGGTATCGTTGGACTCTTAATTGAATGAGTTATCGGATTTTGTGAGTTTTGTCGGGTTCTGAGGCGCGGGCCCGAGTTTGACTTTTTGGTCGATTTTGGGATTTTGATTAAAGATTCGGCCTTTATCGATTGGGTTTGTTTTCTTTGGCATTATTTGATGTATTTGAGTTGCTTTTGGCTAGTTTCGAGCCATTCGGAGGTCGGTACGCGCGTGATGGCAGTTTTGGAGCATCATTTGACTTGCTGGGTATTGGATTTGGCTTGTTCGAGATAAATAATACTTCTAAACTTGGTGTTGAGGGTATGAAACCCCAAATTACGTATTATGTGTTTGGTGTTGAGGTAACGCACATGCTAGGTGACAGGCGTGTGGGCGTGCACCGTGTAAATTGTGACTCCATTATTTCTGTGGTACTGTGTAGTTACCTGATCTTATCTGTAACCATGAAATCTCTACGTACTAGAGCTATTGAGAGGTGATCCATGTTAGAAACCACGTCTAGGCTACATGTTTATCATGTTGGGACCCACTGAGGTCATTTCCGCTATTGATTTATCTATTTTTATTACCTTATATACTCAGCCATACACATTCATATGCATATCTTATCTCAGTCTCTGTTACCATTTATTGACACATCATATCATTATTTTAGGATAGTTTCATGGCATTGTGATCCCGAGAGACTAGAGAGATTGATGATTGAGTGAGGCCGCGGGCCTGATTATGAGTGACATTTATGAGATTGGGTTGCACGCCGCAGTGGTTATACTGATTTATGATAGCGCTTGGGATGAAGGATCCCCTTCGGAGTTTGCACACCCCCCCCCCCC